GAACTGCAGATAACAGTCAGCTGAAGTGGCCTGCAGTACTGCACCCTAACCACTGTGCCACCTCGGCTCTTAGCTAGCAAGCCTCCACAATGCTCTAGTTGCTCAGTGGAGCATCATGTGGGTGCTATACGCGCCATGTGTGTGCGCAGAAACACCGAAGACTTTAAAGACAGGTAAGGAGCATGGGCGGGCAGGTGGGCCCTCCGGAGCACCATACTGAAGCAGTACACAGTGCTCTGGGCAGGCTCCGGTATGCCTGTACCAGGGCGTACCACCTGTAACCCACCACTGCTTTGATCTCTCCCCAGGAAACACCAATAACCTCTTCCAGAATCTGAGGACATTCTGGGAGAAAGGAAATTAATTCCAGTTAGTCCATTAAAGTATTACTTTAACAAGATTGTATTTTTAGAAACCTTCCTTTTTTCTAAATTTTCTAAATTCACTTTCTAAATTCTGCTGTCTGTTGCCTAAACCTACTGTGTTTCCCTGAAAATAAGACAGGGTCTTATTTTCTTTTGACACCCCCCCCCCAAATAAGCACTTGGCCTTCTTTTCGGGGAGGTCTTATTATTTTTGAGGTGCAGGAGGTGCGCGAGTGTGGTCACCTCATGGCTGCTACTGTGTTGCAATATTTCCAGGGAGGGCTTATTTTCAGGGGAGGGCTTATTTTAGTGCATGTGCTCAAAAGCCCGATTGGGCTTATTATCCAGGGAGGTCTGATTTTTGGGGAAAACAGGGTAACCATGGTCTTTCATCTCAGTATTTAAAAAATTTACTTGCAAATTTATCTTATTTTTATTGACTCTTTAAAACAAGAAAATTTTGTTTGATCAGATGAAGAATAGAGAAAGAATTGATCTCCCAGGAGTTAAGCCCACCCAGGAAACATAGAAATCCCTTCCTGCCTGGCTGCTATCACTTACATCCTAACTGTAATAATTATGATTCAGGTGGTACTTTTGCTCAGTGAAGTAACTCTTGTTCTACAGAAAAACAGCAAAAAAAACAGGGCAAACCAACACATCGAAACACGCTTTTGCAGCAAAATGCACCATGGACTGCATCAAATCACACATATACCCCTAAGCTTAGCAGGTCAACTTATCAGGGGGGAGTTAATAACGATGATTTGCTGAGTTTAGATGTACATGTGCACTTTATGCACACTCCTTTGTCCTATTGATTGTAGAGTTTTCCGAATGCTTTTGAAGATGAAGATGCTCACTGCATATTAAGAGCCGTTCAAATCTAAACATCAATAATAATCACACCCAGCAGTAGTCAAACCAACTGTCATGTTTGGGGGAGGGAGATTAACTTCCCTTCTGGGTGAACTGAAGCAAAGTAATGCAAACACCCACTTTTGTTACCACTCATAGAAGCCTATCTGCATTTTTAGTCCACCTTCCCCACAGCAGTAAGTACCATGCCATCTAGATAATGGCATAATGCAGAGATGGGTTCCTACCAGTTCGCACCAGTTCAGTAGAACCGCTTCGTCAAATCTACCGAACCAGTTAGAAGAGGTTCCACCAGTGGACCCGGAAAGCAGGCCACACTTACAGAAGAGCTTCCAAAAAATTTTGAAACCCACCACTGACACACACATACACACAAACACACACAGAAAGAGAAAGAAAGGAAGAAA